TCTCTCCATCTCCCTCTCCCTCCCTCCCTCCCTCCTTCCCTCCCTCACACGAGCGGGACCGACACATTCATCAGGCCCATTGCGTGGACCAGCCCGGGGCCTCATTGGCAGACATAGTGCGCGATATTTATTTCCAGTGTTTTTCAATTAAATGGAGAGTCAGTTTGGCGCTGAAGGCGGGAAAGGGGGATTGGGGCGCGGGTGAACACCGGGAGGAAATGGCGCAAAATGTGCGGCTCGAACTGTAGCCCGTACGCGTTGTCTCATTGCCACGCTGAATTTCGATTAAAAATACACGTACATGCTGAGTGTTTTGGTGCACGCGCTGATGTGGCCGGGCAAAAGGTTTATCCCAATTTATGTGTCGCAGTCTCCAAAAGATCGAGAAACAATAGCATGAACACTTCTTTTGGAGACTGCGAATTTTAGTTCTTGGTTTTTGGGGTGCCAAAATATGGCCCCCCCTGAAAGAATGCAAAAACGCGTCATTCCAAGAGCCCCAAAAGAGCAAAAAAGTTGGAAGTCTTTTTGAAAATAATACCAAAATTTGGCAGTCAAAGAGTTAATGTCAAAATTTGGCAGGTAAAGTGGCCGCCAGACTTGTCTGTAAAAAAAAAAATGCTCTGCTTTAAGATTTTTGAGCAACCTAAACTTCAACAGACATGATAGTATGTCCGTATAGTGCACGTGATTTTCATGATGAATTATGCGCTAGTAATACTGAAGGTCGGGAACACTGACACGTATAGCGCTAATTCCTGACAGTTTTTCTTTGATGTGTCCGCTCGGCAGGGCATCAAGGCGCACAGCATTGCGGGGCGGGGCCGCACAAAGGACGGGGACATTACCGAGTTGAGAGAAAGCCGAGCGGCTGGCGGTGGCGGCGCGCGGACGCACACAAAACAAAGGAATACAATCAACGGCCGCGAGAGCCGCGTGCCCACGATGCAGAGCGTTGACAAGTGCACTGACACGCTGTGTGAGAGAGATTCTTCGAAATATGTCACGTGCGTCGATTCTGTTGTTTCCACACCAAGCCCCCAGCCTCGCCTTTTACACAACAGCAGCTGTTCTGTGGATCGAGAGGTGGGGCTTTCGCCTACATTGCTCGTCACGTGCCTTTATCGCCCAAACCTCGTCCCATTCAGAGTTTGTTTGATTTCTCAAAATTGTTGATTTGCAGAAATGCTGATGGCTGACGCGTTAGTTACGTTTATATTATGAATTTATAATATAAATCCTAATTTATTCTTCAAAGAATTAGTTCCCCTCGTTTTTGCTGCGTGTAGCATCAGGTGGAGCCACGGCGTCCTTGCGAAGGCGCAAAGGTCGCTGTGAGAATCTGTTATCAAGCGGAGGGCCTACACGGCGAGGTATCGGATGCATCCGCCCGCCGCCCTGTCGCGCCCGCTAGAGCACGCTAGCGCACGCCCATGCGGCCCCGCAGCAGCGCCCCGCCACGCCGGGACAGCCACTTTAGCGCCGTGCGCCGCGCCGTAACCATTCAATTCCGAACATCTCTCCCTTTACTCGCTCTCTTTATCGCTCTCTTTATCGTTCTCACCCCCTTTCTCTTATTTTCTTATTC